AATGACTCAAGAGAAAGCGAATGGACAGAACATCAGACACCATGCCAGGCACCAGGAGGCGGCCTTGTGTGGTAGGCACATAGGACTCCAGAAGGGAACAGAGGAGTGCAAAAGATCCTTAAAGAACTTGGAGTTTCAGTGAAGACAGGGCTGACAGCTGTGAGTACTTGGCACTTGCTCTGTCAAAGACTTTACAAGAGTAGCACCACTGTAGACAGACCCTTCTGGAAGGATTCTGAAACCAAAGTAATTGAGATTGTTTCTAATACAAAATAAATGAAAGATGGTCCTCATCCTTAATCACACCAAGATGGTAATGGGGCTGCTTCATACAGAAAGTGTATCTGTCACCTGTACCTGGAATAATCACAGAATATTTCATTTTCTAAGGGCTTTTGCCTGGTCCAACGTGTGTGGTGAGGAAACACACAACTGGCAGAAGTTACCACGGGGCCATAGCAGGGCCTGATGGATGGGGAAGGAGGTGGGCAAGCAGAAAACAATTCTGGGGATGTCCATCTGGCTACCATCACTACTTATAGGTGGTATGAGCTAGGGTGAGCCTGTTTCTTCATCCATAAAAAGGGTTTAAGCATCATCCTCACAGAGCAGTGATGAAAGTTAACTCATCCATCAACTCATATTTATGAAACAACTATCACAGCACTGTATGCAGGCACATCTCCTGGATGGCTGTTTGAGTTTGTTCTGATTCAGCAGGTTTAAGGGCCTGAGAATCTACAACAAGCTCTTGGGAGTATGCATGTGATAATCCAGCCCCCCACCTCTGCCCTCACAAGACACCCAGTTTTAAGAGGGAGAGGTCTGCACCTCATGTTTCTGGGAATGATACCCAACATAAGGCACATCAAAGGTCTCTAGAAATTGGTACTGAGTGAGCCATTTTTACAGGCAGCAGAGGGGCCTTAGTTCTGCCTTGAGTCCACAGGTCATCTGAATACTACTGGCAAGACAGTGACAGGGTAGCATAGCTTCCTCTGCAGCCAGGAAGTAATGAAGGTGGGAGCTGGAGACAGGCTATTCTTCCCCAAAATCAGAGCTTCCCACAGGGTCTAGCCCACATCCAGGTGCCATTAAGAGGCCCCAAAATCCAATCTTCTATTCCTGGTCAGGCCTGGACAGTCTGAGAACGGGTATGGCTAAAATCTGGGAGCCAGGGAGTGCTGGGAATCAGACACAGACCACTCACAGGTAGAAATGACAGGTCTTTTCATGAATGTGTTTTATTTTTCTATCTCAATGGAGGAAATGTGACTCTGTTGTTTTGACTTTTTAAATAATTATTTGAGTATGTGTGTGTTACATGCCATGATGCACATGTAGAGATCAGAGGACAACGTGTGGAAGTTAGTTCTCTCCTTCCAGTATGTGGGTCCTAGGGATTGAACACGGGTCCTCAGGCTTGGCAGCAAGTGCCTGTACCTGCTGAGCCATCTTGCTGATCCTCTATTGTTTCTGAATGAACTTAACGCAGACAATACCTGTATGACGCAGGGTCCTGTATTCCTGTAGACACATATATGTGTCACACATGAGGCTCTTTAAGCAATGGAAACCCATGACTGCCAAAGTGCCCCTTCTCTCAAGGTCCCCAGCTAGGTTCATGGTCAGCACCTATGCCTTCTATAGGAGAGCCCTGATCAGATGCACACATGCACATCATGCTTGGAGAGCCACACTGCCAAGTTCTTTTCAAAGAGAGAGCTGGATATATTTCCATGTCTTTCTAAAAAAAGATTTATTTTGTTATGTTTAATTGTGGTGGGGGTATGTGCACTTGTGTGTGAATGCCCGTGGAGGGGCCTCAATCCCCTTGGTGTTGGAGTTATAGGCAGTTGTGAGCCACCAGACATGGGTGCTAGGAACCAACTTGGGTCCTGTGCAAGAACAGTATACACTCTTAATGGCTGAGCCATTCCCCATTTTCATGTCTCTGAGGATGGGAAGAGGGAGATCCAGAGCCTGCTCTTGAGCCCCCCCAAAATAATAACAGCTCACATTTGGGTCCTACCAAATCTCCTAGGGTGGCCAGCTCAGGCTCCCTTCTAATATATGGGCCCTGTCTTTTCCCTCCAGCCAGATGTGCCCAAGACTCAAACTTTCCCCCGCACAGAGTGGCACCAAATGGAACCCCACACAAGAGTCCTAAAGCTGTGGTCTAAAGTGGGAATGCTGAGACTGAGCCAGGCAGACTTCCAGCAGAGGTCATCCAGGTAGGACAGAACTAAAACTGACAGGCTCCTAGGGCATGGAGGATGCCAGGCCCAACAGAAGCTAACCAGTGTCCTGGGTAAGTGGCATCCCTTCCAACAGCCTCATTTTCCTCATTGATAACATGAAGTTTGATTTAGATATTTTCTGAGACCTTTCAGCCTAGAATTCTGAGTACTATATCACAGGCTATCTGTGAGCTCTGGTTGCCCAGGTTCAAATCCTGACTCTCCCACCTCTGTGAGCTCTGACAGGAGCCACCTCCCAACCTTAGAGCCTCCTCAGTAATATGGAATGAAGAGAGCTCCGACTAAGAGCTCTCTGCAGATTCAGTGAGGCCACACCTTACTTGGATGAAGATTCAGTAGATACTATTATTCTGTGAGCTTGGGACTTCCTGCTGCCTCTGCCCTCATGCTCTCAAATGAAGTCAAACAACAACCAGGTTCCCCCATCTCCTTAGTGCCTTCCAACAGTGGAGAGACCCACCAGATCCCACAGATCCATTTACATCAACAGCATGCACACATGGGCAGCCTTGTGCAAGGTCTCAAACATAATGTAAGCGCAGGCAAACCCCAGCATGCCAAGCAACAGGTGTGGTCACTTCAACAGAACAGGGAGGACAGGAAGAAAGGAGGCAGGTAAGGGGTGTGGGAGCACATGCAGTCACTGAGGGACAGGGAGCCAGCACAGCCCGAAACCAAGTAGCCCATGCCGGTGCTGCCGGCTCCTTACCTCCCCATCAGGACCTCTGACCACCAGGACTGTGTTCCCCCAAGAAGCTGGAGGCATGCTGGAGAGAATAGAGAGCAGGAGACAGAGAGCAATATGTACTGAGCCAGGCTGACAGGAGAAAGGACTGAAAAGAAGTCCCAAGTGAGAATGTTCAGTTCAGGACATCCATGGCTGAAGTGGTTTCCAAGAGACCCCAAAAAATCTGAGCACCAAAGAAAGATTGTTTCCCAAGACTGCCCTGCGCCAGGGGTGTGGGGGTGTTTGTGGGGGTGAGCAAGCAAAGGACACAAAGACTGGGCCCTCCGAGGTGGGCACCTGACCTCCAGCATGCCTGCCCAGAGAGACCAACTTGGCAGGTTTCCTAGGATGATATGGACTCAATGGGGAAATGACCCAAAGACCTAGGGACAGGACCCTTCTAGCCAGAGCCCAGGAAGTTATGCCTTCATAGATGTGACAAAGTCCACAGGAGGACCATGTATGTGTTGGGACAGGGTGGGGCACACATATTACAAGGCCAGCATCAGAAACTTGAGGTTCTGGTCCTGGTTCCACCTGGGTAATTTTGGATAAAGTACATTTCCTCTCTAGGCTTCAGTTTCCCCATGTAGGAGATGAAAAAAAGTCCTTCTTTTATAATAAAAAGAGGAGAATACATACTCTTAGCAATGCCAGGCATGAAATCCCAATAGGGTAATAGGTAGTTTTTCTAGACATTTCTTTGGGGGTTGGTTTTACTGGCATAGAGAAACGTTCAAACATCCAAAATTCCCAGCATTAGTCTGGGGAGAAGAGCTCCCAAAATCTCATTACACACCTGTGTTGCAGGAGCCTCAATTGGGGAATCACCTCCATTGGACCAGCCTGTGGCCACGTCTGTGGGGGAATTTTCTTGATTGCTCAGTGATGTGGGAGGGCCCAGCCCACTGTTGGTGGTGCCACCTCTGGGCAAGTGGGCCTATGTTGTATAAGAAAGCAGGTTGAGTATGGGTCAGGGGACTAGGCCAGTAAGCAGCGTTCCTCCATGTCCTGGGCTCCAGCTCCTGCCTCCAGGTTCCTGCCCTGAGTTCCTACCTTGGGGTCCCTGATGAACTGTGACCTGGGAGATGCAAGATAAATAGACCCTTTCCTCCCCAAGTTTGTATTGGTCAGAATGTTTTGTCACAGCAATGGAGAAACAAACTAGAACACCACTTCAGGGCTATGGATGTAGGGAATGAGCCTAAAAGCACAAAATGTGTGAGAGAGCTTTTATTATCAACAATTCAGGGACTAGTTTCCTTTGTGAAATTCCTCTCACTGCCTGAGTTCTTTCTGGAATGCCCTGGTAGGGTTGAGCGCTCTTCCAGGAGAGGAAGTCCTTATCATTGGATTCCAGCAGCCCATCCTTGGATCCCAGCAGCCCATCCTTGGGCTGCTCACAAAAGGGGCCACACACCTAAAGAGTGACAGATTTCTATAAGTCAGTCACTAAAGCCAACAAGATACTCTTTAAGGTTTTCTTTTTTTTTTTTTGGTTTTTGAGACAGGGTCTCCCTATAGCCCCAGCTGTCCTGGAACTCACTATGTAGACCAGGCTGGCCTTGAACTCACAGAGATCTGCCTGCCTCTGCCTCTGCCTCCTAAGTGCTGGGACTACAGGCATGCACCACCACGCCCGGCTCTTTAAGGTTTTCTAGATCTGGATATACAACTCAGCTGATCACTACAACCTCAACTCCCTGTTACAATAGGTAAACTAAAGCCAAGAAATGTAAAGATACAGTTTTCCCACAGGTACTCAGCAGAGTAGCTGCTTGTCAACAAAGCACATGAGAACCTGAGTCTACTGATGCTGGGCTTGACATCAGGCTGCCCTGGACAGCAGTGTCTGGTATGGCCCTAGGAGTTAAGCATCTGGGCACTGCCTTGCAGACCCACCCTTAACACTACATTCACTATCCTACACTGCTGCCTGCTCCAGATACTTGGGACCAAGGTAGGCCAGCTGGGCATGGTAGTGGGGAACCTGAACAGGTATACACAGCTACCTTTGATGACAAATGCCTCCGACAGCAGCCGCATCTGATACAGAGGCTTGTTCTCCATGGACATGTCATCAATCCCAGCCCGGGCATACATGCTGATGGCATCTCGGTAGGAGCCCTCCACATAATGCAGCTTGCCCAGGATCAGCATGGCCTCACACATGTACTGTGGCTGAAAGGACAAGGACATGTTAGCAGGCTCCTGCTCCAAAGTTTCTACCTCATGCCTACCTTACTGGGTACCCTAAGATAAAGACACTCTCGCCTACTGAGCCATTAGCCATGATTTGCCCAAGATCTTGCTCAGAACTCTCCTTCCTCCTCCAGGAAGCCTTCCCTGATGCCCAAGCTCTCCTCCAAAGTTGAGCCTACTATTTTACTCTTTAGAGCATCTAGACGCCAGACAGCTTCAGAATTGAGCCCTGCCCTCTCTCTTCTAAAGCCTACAAGGCTCTGGCCCAGGCTGGGGCATGGAGTGAGCCAAAATTTTATGGGGCCTAAAGCTTATAATTTGGGGATATATGAAATTAGGTGAAAGGCTTTAGAAAGAGCCCATGAGGACCGTGAAGCCAGCACCTGTACCCTCAGCAGCAAGACCTTTAGAGGGAGGAACAACCACATTAGCAGTGTGGGACAGTGGACAGGAGGAGAATGCTTGCTGGGTCACCATCCTTACCTTATCAGAAGTAGAGGAAAATACAGAGCCTAGGGGGCCTAGATATATACAAATCTCCACCCACCCAAAGGACTCTCAGGGCCTCCTTAGGGCCTTAGGAGGTCAGCTCAGCCTTGGCCACACTAACTCAGTGTGGGTTGTGTTTAGATAGAGAACGTAGCATTGCTGACTGAGGGAGGCTGAGCTGTCCTGGATGGGAAATATGAAATACTCCTGAGCTCTGGTCTTGGAGATGAATCCTATCCTCTTCTGAGGTCTCCCACCTCTAAAAGGCATTTGCTGTAGCCCCTACCTCCATCTCTGTGCTCAGCTGGTCCTTTAGGCCAGGCTCTGGCTATTGCCCTTGCCATCTACAAAGCTCCCTGGAGACACAGCTCTGGCTCCAACCCTTGACTTCCATCACTGGCAGGATGGTTCTTTCCAGGTCTCCCAATGAGTAGGTAAGTCAGAAGTTTCTATGACCCTAGGAGGAGCCTCCACCACTCCCATCATCTTCTGGTTTCAAAGAAACCAAGTAAGAGAAAGAGAGCCAGGTAAAGCCAAGCCCCACAGAAGCCAAGTTCTTTCTCATTCCTCTCTGGTTTTTGCAAATACACATTGCTGTATTACCTTTGCTCACTCAGAATGTTCCCCTAGGCCTGTCCAGATCCTTGTTAATTCTTTGGGTAGAGCTTAGCCCTACCTCCACCTGGAAGTCTTCCCATCCCCCAGCAAAGCTCCCTTCGGTTAACACCCACAGTTTCTTGTACAGCCCCTACATACCTGCCCTGCTTTCTCTAACTACTAGTAACTCTCAAAGGCTAATTTTTCAAGGCCATTTGCTTATTTTCCCCAAAAGGCCACCCACTTCCTTAGTCAGAATCACAGATGACACATCCCCAGAAGGATGTAGCCTATGGTACTTCTAAGCTGCACAATGGCATTCTATCTACTGGTCTCAAGCCACAGGCTCATTCCCTCCCAACTCAGTCTCATCTTTCTTGTGGATAAAGGAGAGATAATAACACCCCCCTCCCCCACCTCCCATCCCACTGGTGCTAAGGGCATTAATAGGGCAAAGTCTAAAGGACGGCTTTGAACTGCTCCTGAGAAAGGAGAAAGATAAATACAGGGTATGACCAATTATTATGATCATATATTTCAACTCAACAGCACACAGGAGAAGGGGCAGCAAGGCTTAGAAGGACATTCAGGGCATGGTGACTGGTTGTGGCTGGTGGTAGCTCCTGGTAGAACAATGACAGTTTACAATGAAGCATTTATGTCTGTGGCTACTATACCATACAGGGCAGGGCCAATCCTTAATGGAGACTTGAATAGAAAAAAACAAAACAAAACAACTTGTTGTTTGGGTGGCCAAATGACTTGGAGGGTTGGACAGCAGATAGGTGGTAAGAGAGAAGAGGAAAGACCCCACAAGATGGCAGCTGATGACTTACAGACAACTTCCCCTTATTAAGGATACTGCTCAGGTAATCTTTGGCTTCACTTATCCTGTAGTCACTCTTTTCCAACAATGGGATGGAGTCTTTAATTTTGTCATGGTTCTCCTTCAAACACTGCTCCAGGAGGGCCTCCGCCAGCAGCAATTTCCCAAAGTCATCTGAAAAACATGATAAAGGTCCGAGTGGTTAGTGATTATTAATAAACCCTTGAAAAAGGGGTGATGATCTATATCCCTGGGCCCCCAACCATCCCCACCCAGCACAGCTCAAGTCTGAGAATATAAAGGTACATTTTCCATAAACCTAAACAGTCTTTAAAGAAAACACATGGGTAGTCTACCATGGTCATAGTCCAAACTGCTCACATGGATTTATTTTCTGCTACAGTTCGGCAGCTAGGAAGGGGAAGTTCCTAAGACAAATTTCCAGGAATTCAGAATTTAAAATGAAAGACAGAGGCATGCCTAATGCCTCACTGTGGGTGATGATTTTAAACTAAGAAGCCATCCTTGGCAGGGCACTGGTAGCTCATGCCTGTGATCCTACATTTGGGAGGCTGAGACAGGAGGAATGCTGGGAGTTCCAAGCCAGTCTGGACTACAGAGTTAGACTATGCCTCTGAAAAAAGAAAGGAACTCACTCCAAACAATCAAAGAGGAAAACAGTATGTGGTGGCTTAATAACACCTTTTCCCATTCTCCCAGTTTCAGGGTAACTATAATTGGTTTGCTCTACCTTGAAGTGCTCTAGTGTTGCTCAGGGAATATCCTAGCAGCCAGAACAAAGAGGGAAAGTGGCACACACAGTTTCTTGTGTAGAAAGACAAGCACATGTTAAGTGCTTGCATTTTCTAGAGTTCTCTCTCTCACAGGAGGCTCATTCACATACTTTTTCACCTGGCAAGTAGTTTAAACTACTTTGAATTTGCTGCTTCCCCTATATCAAAGAAATTCCAACCTTGTTACCACCATATCCCTGCTACCAGTGACTGAGGGGGCTCAGCCAAGCTTGAGGTCAAGTGAAGTCTCATCATAGCCTCAGGCAGCTGTGTTCACTGTCCTGTCCCATCAGCCAGGGTGAGGAGCAGGTCTAACACTCAATGGAAGTACCTAATAAATACCTGTCTGGTGAATCATATCCTCCCAGCTCTCTGGAGAGGATGCCAGCAGGCTCAGGGAGCTATGCATCTATACCAGCAGTATCTCTAGGAACTTCTACTTTGCCACACCTTCCCCTGGTGCTTTTGGCAGCATTCCACTCCCTCTCAAACACTGAGGACCATGTCCTTTGCCCACTCTCTAGGCCACAGGTCCAAAATTGCATTCCTCTTAGGAGGAATCTCTCTCCCAAAGGGATACTCCCTGTGGGGAGATCTCAACCCAGAATCTCAGTCACACGGCCCAGGAGGGTTTTGCTCTGAGAACACATCATCAAATCCTTTGCTACTTAAGGTTTAAAAAATGAACATTCTAAGGAAATGTCTATAAAAGTACACAGTTCAACCGACCATTCAATGCTGATGGAGCACAAGCTTGTCGGACCTCTAGAATAGGCTATTTGGCAACATATATAAATATTGTTTCACACACACACACACACACACACACACACACACACAGCAATTCCACTCCTACAGATGCCTTTGCACATGTGTAAAACAACCTACTCAGTTGTTCCCCACTCAGCATCATCCACAAGTGGCTAATTAAAGTACATATTCCATAAAAAACGGACACCATGCAGCCATAAAAGGGAATGTAGATGCTCCATGTGTGCTATTACTGATGAACTGCAAGATAACTTGATAGAAAACAGAGCCCACACCGGTGCCTGTCGTAAGCCACTGTGTGTTTATACATGCAAGTAACAGATGACACACACACACACACCTTGGAAGCAGGCTGGCGGCATGCGGGACTTTCCATCCTTGTGGAAAGGGCTTTGACAGGTTTGAACCACTTGAATATACTACCTAACAACAACAACAACAAAATTTTAAGTCAACCTAAGCCTGGAAGGCGACCTTCATTTCCAAATCTCAGCCCTGAGACCTCTAGCAGGGGGTGCACTGGGACAGTCCCCAGCAGCTTTGCGAGCTGTGCACCTACGTGCAAGTCGCTCCAGGCTCTGACCTGTTTGGTAAAGCCCAAAGCAGTTGGTAGCCTCCTCTTCCGAACTGCGTCCCTCCCCAGGCTCCGCCCTAGAGAGGTTCCCGCCCCTTTGCCCCAGAAGCCTCTCCACCCGTCAGCAGCCATCCTTGCCACAGGCCACCTCACCGCCCGTGCCATCGCGCCATCGGCCAGTCGGCCCGCCTCTGCCACTCACCTGCCCCTCCCAGAACTCCTAGCCCCTGGTACCTTTCAAGCCGAAAGAAACTGGCTCCCCTCCTAGAACCGCCCTTTTTCTCAAATGGGTGTGCCCCCTGAACCCTGCTGCCCAGGGTGGTGTGCACCACTGCAGGTCTCAGCTTGTGATTCAACCCTACTCCACGTGGGCAGAAACTTAAGTGTATGTGTAGAAACTGGACAGAGCATTAGCGAATTGGTTGGATTTAATTTTTTAAAAATTGGAGGGAGGAAGCAGTACTTTGTGCATTTTTTCCTTGGGCTTCATTTAGATTGTATTTTGTTAAAGGATCAGCACAGCAGACTGGAGACTACATTGATCCCTCTCTAAAGTCTGTTTGAAGAACAGTGTGCTAAACTCTGAGGAACTGGGCCAGTGAAGGGGACACTAATATTTGTGGAGGGCCTACTAAGTGCCAAGCACTTTATTATATAGTTTTACTTAACCTGCACAGTCCTATAATGCACATATGATTCCCATATTACAGATAATGGTTAATGATATTGCCTGCATCATAACTGATGATATATAACATCAGTTATATATAACACAGTCAAATATGTTTTCCTGATACTGCAGTCTGTGAAGAGTAAGCTGAAAGCCAGTAGGGAATCCCACGACAAATGTGTGTATGTGTGTGCAAGTCCTCTACCAGAGCCACACCTCCAGTCCCCAGGCTGTTACTTTTACTTCAGGTCCTTCCCTTTCCTTCTTTCCTACTGTTCTCAGCTGACAAGTCTACAAAACTAAAGGGCACTTGGGAATTCCAAGTCCTAAATGTTCAGTTGTTAAAGAGTCCAGGTAGAGAAATACATCCCTGTCTTCTCAAAGGTTAACAAGTTGCTTCTTAATTTCCTGTTATCCCAAACCTGCTCCCTGTCTAGGTCTGAGTCAGAGACCCCAGCTTCTCTGATCAGGAGCATGAGGAAGGCTTCCTGAGAGATCACGGGGAGCTGGCAGTGAACCTGGTGACCCCACCCCACCCTTATCCTCAGCAGAGGCCAAAGCAGGCCTAGTGGTCGCCCCCATCTCTTCCTCTGACTCCTTTTGATGGTCTGTGGCAGCCACTTTCCTCCCAGTCCTCTTGGGCTTCTCTCAGGGAACAGGTCACAGGGATTCACTTGTGCCCTCACATTTGGAAGACACGTGCCCCCTACCCAGGTCAAACCAGGGCACTGTGGCTTCTACAGCTGCTATCCCCAAAGGCCTGGAGGTAAGAGATTCTTAAACTAAGCAATGTCTCAGAGACTTAAACTGCAGCAACATCTGAAATGATCTCCCTTTTAAAAGGATCAGATCATGGGGCTGGAGAGATGGCTCAGCGGTTAAGAGCACTGACTGCTCTTGCAGAGGACCCAGGTTTGAGTCTCGGCACCCACATGGCAGCTACGAACTGTCCTTAACTCCAGTTCCAGGGGAATCCAAAGCCCTCTTCTGACCTCCACAGCACTGCATGACACGGGTGCACTCATGTACATGCAGGCAATACACTCATACACATAAAATAATAAATAAAATTGGCTGGGCGTGGTAGCACACGTCTGTAATCCCAGCACGTAGGAGGCAGAGGCAGGTGGATCTTTGTTAGTTCAAGGCCAGCCTGGTCTACATAGTGAGTTCCAGGACAGCTGGGGCTACAGGGAGACCTGGTCTCAAAAAGACCAAAAAAAAAAAAAAAAATTTTTTTAAAAAAGAATCAGATCATTTAACTGAAAAACAAAAAGATGGACTATGGATGAAAACACTCAAGAGGGGCAGGCCAGAGACAAAGCAGGTACAGAAAACGGTCCATGGTAGAACCCAGTGGATTCTACATGATACACAGCATTAGCCACAAAATTTTTTTGATCTTTACTGTATATTTGAAATTTTCCTAATATAATTTTGAAAGGGAACCCCAAACCCAACAACTAAACATGGGGCCGTATTTGAATCCCACTCTAACTAGAAACTTAATTGCTACACTTTTTTTGAGGGATAACAATGGTATGGTGGCTATATTTTTCAAGTGAGTTCTTATTTAATAAACATATACTGAAATGGTAAAGGGTGGAGGAGCGATGGGCTGAGGCAAACTGCATATAAGACTGCTCATGAGGGCAGGAGAGATGGCTCATCAGGTAAAGGAGCTTGCCACCAAGCCTTATAACCTGAGTTCCATCCCCAGGGTCCACGTAGTGAAAACTGACTCTTTAAGTTGTCCTCTGACCTCCACAGACGAGCCATGGCATCTGTGCCTATGTTCACACACACATAAAATAAATGAAACAAAATACAAATTAAAAATAAAAGATTGCTTATGAATTCATAACCACTGAAGCTGGTTGATATTAGATGGACTTGCTTTTTTTTAAAAAAAGTATTTTGGAAATTTTCCATAATAAAGTGTTAACAAACATAAAAACACTGGGGGGGGCAATGTGGCTCAGCAGGTAAGGGCACTTGTTGCCAAGTTGACAATCTGAGTTAGATCCCACAAAGTGGAAGGAGAAAACAGACTCCTGCAAGCTGTCCTCCAACTTCCATATTTACATGATGGCATAAGCAAACCTGCCCCCCACCCCTACCCCACACACACACACACAAAATAAATGTAATGTAATGAAAAACAAATTTTTTGTTTTTGGAAACAGGATCTCCCTGTAGCCCAAGCTGGCCTGGAACTTGCTGTGTAGACCAGGCTGACCTTGAACTCACAGATTCACTTGCCTCTGCCTCCCCAGTCCTGGGCTTAAAGGTGTATACCACCATGCCTGACATGAAAAAAAATTTTTTTAATCCAATCAAAACTCTGGGCTGAGCTCTTTGAACCCCAGCACCAGAAGTCACGCTTTGGAGTTCCCCTGCGCCATACTGACTGAATCTACCCCGGATATGAGTTTGAAGAAAAAGCAGAGTAGTAACTACCTTCCTCAGACAGGAAAAGGCCTAGGGGCTGCTGTAGCTGTGCCTCAGTCCAACTTACCAACGGCCCCACAGTGCCTTCCTCTCCTCACCCCCACCTCCCCAGGAACCTATATTCTGAGTGCTACTATCAGTCTCTATAGAATGCTCTGACACAGCAGGACCACATGGCCTTAATAAAACAGGGTTCTCTGGGGTTCAGCCCCCCTTCCCTTAGTACTTTCTGCCCTCCCCACATTATGTCACCATCAGGTCACTAAGAGTCTAGCAGGCCAGGTGAGATTTTAAGAATCTCCTTCCTAGGCTACAATTAGGGAGGGAGGGGGTCAGTACTAACACTCCCCCCTCCTGAAAAAAAAGAGGTTCTCATCCTCTTCTGCAAATTCTATAGAAATCCATAGGAGAGCCAATAGTTGTCCATCCAAAAATGTTCTTGCGTATGCTTTGGGAGTGATTTCTTTTTTGTTAGCGTATTCATGTTCTTGCGTATGCTTTGGGAGTGATTTCTTTTTTGTTAGCGTATTCATGTGTATTGCATGCATGTATGTACATGCATGCATGTGCATATATGTGTACGCAGGTATACAGAAGTGTTTGGGGGTATCTGGACTTAACAGTGAGGAAAAAAAAAATCACTCACAGAACTACACCCCAAAGTTGACAGGAATAGCCCTCAAGTTGCCCTTTTTATAGAGATCAGTTCCCACAAGGCCAACACAAGCTCCAGGCCTTAACTCTGCCACATGCCAACATGCCGGCAGGGATTCACACTTGAATCTGAGCTCTATCACGTATATATTATGTGACCTCACTGAGCTGTGGTGTGCCCACACATAAGATGACAAGAAGACCCCTGCCCTCCTCACAGGGCTTTTTAGAAGAATTTTAAAAATTGAGACAACACTTTATGCCATACCACTTACAGCCCATTCTGTGCCAGTGTTTCCCAAAGGCGGTCCATAGAAGATGGTCCAGTTAGAGTTGAGAAATGTGTTTCTTCTATCCTTGACTTTCATACCACAGGTGAGCACATCAAGAATCTGAGAAGTCCTGAAAATCTTTTGTTGTTGATGTTTTGGTGCTGGCTATCAAACCCAAGAATGCTATCACTAAGCTCCACCCTCTACTTTAGTTTTTGTTTTGTTTTGCTTTTTGAGACAGGATATCAATACACAGCCCAGACTGGCCTCAAATTTGAGGTCCTCCTGCCTTTGCCTCCCAAGTGATGGGACTATATACATGTGCTATCATGCCCAGCAATCACTTGTTTTAAAGTCCATTCTTTCTTTTGACTTCTTAAACCTTTTCCTCCTTAAACACTTATTAACTGACTGCCAAACCTCCTTGTGACCTCGGCAGAACAACTTAGGAAAAAGAGCCTGGCTGGATAGAAGGGGCCTGAATTCCTGTCTAGGGCCCAGCTCCCTTCTCTGTGGTGTGAACCTCACTCAGATTCCCATACCTTACCCAGGAACCACAGCCTTCTGGGTGGGTCAGTTCTCGATCCCACTCACAAGCCCCTTTCCACCCTGGACACAGAGGGGATGCCTACAATTTACCTGCTGTATCCTGGCTGCCCTCACTGCAGTGCTTTGACTTTGGTCAAAGCCTCAAACCGAAGCTGGGCATCTTTAATCCCAGGACTTGGGTGGCAGAGGCAAATGAACTTCTGTGAGACTGAAGTCAGCCTGGTCTACATAAGGAGTTCCAGGCCAGTCAGGGATACAGGGAGACCCTGTCTCAAAAACCAAAATCAAACAAAAGAACCAAAAAGCCTCAAAGTATCCCCACCACTTCTCAGCCCCTTGAGATCCTTGCATCAGCATTCTCCTCGGGTAAACAAACACCATGCACTTCAGGCAGCTGGCCAGTACAATGTATGGTCCTTCCCAAAAGTCCTCTCCCCTTCCTCTGAGCTCTACAATCTTACCTGCAATTGCCCACCCTTCAGTCCCAGTCCTGACTCCCACCCACTTGGGAACTCTGCAGGATGAGGATTCTGTGCTATGCAAAGAGGGAAAGAGGTATACTCTGAAATCTGAATTCAAACCTTGTTTCCACAGCTTATTGACTGGCTTATGACGTTATTTAACTTCCCTGGGCATCAAACAGGAGGACTTTACCTTGAGTTGGGAGGAGCGATGACTTGATTGAATTGACTTGTCTGAGACACAATAAGCACTACATTAGCGAAGGCTCTTACTATTGTTACGGTCATTCGGTCTCTCCCACAGAGGCTTAGTTTTAGGAAACTTTTCATATCTGCTTTACTCCCTGCCTCCTTCAGCAAAGGTGAGTGTGCACACACCCAGAGGCTTTGCACGGCTCTCAAGGCTGAGCGCTAGCACCAGGAACAAGATCTAGAGCTGGAGACCGGGCGGGGTGTTCCTGCTGCCCCATGAGGGTGCTTTCCCGCCCCAGCAAGAGAGCACAGCCTAGCCAAACCAGCCCTACTGCTAAAGCCACAGACTGCCAGCGCTGGATGGGGCCCTAGTCAGTCTCCCAGCAGGAAATGGAGGCTCGCCGGGCCTCTCCTACCTACCCTGGTGCTCAACAACCCTGGCCCCCGTCTGCTGTGGAAGGAGCTCGGTTTTCAACTTTATTGGGGGGGGGGGGTACGGATACGGCACGGAGGAACAAACATAGCCTTCACCTGATAGAATTTGGGGAGGCCAGGGCTCGGTCCGGTGCACTGATCTGAGATGTGCAGATTCCCCCATTTCACCCACATGATCTTAAAGGGCAGAATGCAAAAGACTTATCTCTCTTCTTCCCAAACACCCAATCTGCATGTGATTTTGCTCCTGGGGCAAGACTTTCCTAACTGCCCAGGTTGCTGCAGGAGGGTAGTGCCCAGCGCCGGCTCGCGGCGGCCGGTCGAGTAGCGCTTCCAGGAGGAGGTGCTTTTCGCGCGCTCGATGCGGGTGAACCAGCCTCTTCCCTCACTCACCGTGGTCCCGGGAGGTGAACCTGCCGCCGCTCGGGCTGTTTCGCCTGCTGCCACTGCCGCCGCCGGATGTGCCCAGAGTCTGCAGATGCCGGACCAGCTCGAACATACGGTCCCAATGGCCCTCCGCGCGGCAGCGCTCCAGCTCGCTCTCCACCTTCAGGTGGGAGCCGTGCGCGCCCTTCGCAGCCATCTTCGGGCGGGAGCCGTCATGGGAGGCGCGGAGGAGGAGTGGAGACCCGGCCGGGGGCGGCGTCCTGGCTGGGGCGCACTCACAGGCAGGGTCGACAAGGGCGCAGACGGCATCCGGGGTCCGGGTGGCAGGGGGAGGCCGGGTGGCGGCCGGAGACCCGCAGCAGCAGCAGCTGCGGCTCCCAGCTCACCGCCCGGGGCCTCCGGGCTGTGGCTCCGGCTGCGCCGCCCCAAGGCGTCCAGGAGCAGCCTCCGCCTCTGCTGCAGCAAGTCCTGCCGCCGCTACCGCCGCCGCTGCTGCAGCTGCTGCCACAGCCCCCGCCCGCGGCCCGGGCGTTGCCAGCTGCGGAGCCGCCCCTGGCCACGTCTCCACCCCCTAGGGGGCGTGGCGAACCCCCGACGGGCGGGGCGCGCAGACGGCCACCGAGGCCACAGCAGCCTAGCCCGCGACGGGCGATCGCGGCCGCCTTGCCGCCTGGTCCCCGCCGCCGCCGCTGGCTCTGAGCTCACTTTAATGCTGCGCGGAGCCCGGGCGCCGGGGGGCACTTCGCTCCCGGTCCCCTCCCCATCCCATCGGGACTCTCCGCCTGGGAGACCCCCGCCGCGACCGCCCAGCTTTGTGTGGTGGCCCTGTCACCGCCGCTGCCCACGGCACGTCACAAATCCCGGGCGCGGCCGGCGGGGCAGTCCGCAGCTCCAGGGAGCAAGCCCCCTGGGAACACCGGCCCAGCCCCGCGGTGCTGGGGCCCAAGAATCCCCGGGCGCCCCCACTCGGAGACAGCCCATGCTCATCTATCTATCTATCTATCTATCTATCTATCTATCTATCTATCTATCTATCTATCTATCTTCTATCTATCATCTATCTATATGCATATAGCTAAATCTATTTATTTTTCCTATTTTTGAGACGGGTCTCCCTGTAGCCCCAGCTGACCTGGAATTCACTATGTAGACCAGGCTGGCCTTGAACTCACAGAGATCCGCCTGCCTCTGCTATGCTGGGATTAAAGACCTACATCACCACTTTTCAACCGTGGGGATCCCATTTTCATCTGGGATCCCTACACTAGGCTGAGTCTCTGTTGCTCTGGATTTCTTAAAGACTGTCTAAACTTCTTCAACTTGATATTTACCTATTTGTTGGTGTCTAAAGACTGTAGTCACATCTGCAAGGAGCGCTTAGCAGGGTTTAATTAGTCCAGAGCTAAGGAGTGCCAAGAAGTTAAAAGGACTACTGGGTAGGGCTGGGAGGGAGGGACCATGCAGTCCAGGCTGGGTGCTAGAACCGACTCCACCCCCAGTGCCACTATAGTGCTCAGTACTGCCTGGGCATTGAGGATGTCACTCAAACCTCAGTCCCGCCCAAACCTATTCTTAAATCCTATGGTTCAGACAGAAGATCCCCAAGATGGTGGGGTTAAGGCAAGCTTTTCAGTGGAATTCTGGAAGTTGAAAGTGGCCACTTCCTTCCTTACAGCTCCCTACCCTGCAGCCTAGCCTTGGGGTGAGGAAACTCACTGCTTCAAGTTTCAGTACAGATATAAGGCAGGAAAGTTTTTGGGACAAGCAGAGCCCAGGCTCCTGGTGCCTATCTCCACAGGGCCCTTCCCTCCCAACCTCAACTTCTCTGTATCTCTGGGTTCTGCAGCTCCCTTCCTTCTTGGAAGGCAAGGTTTCCTACCTCTGCAGCACAGTCCTGAACACCTGGGGTGGGCTCTGATCTTCTAGCCAACAGGAAGCAGATAGAGAAAAACTGAGAGCCCCTGGCTGTTGAGATTTACAGTTGACATTGGCCTTTCAGCTCCTTTGGCCTACTCCTGTCAGCTGTCAAGCTGACTTTGTTACCTTGATGGTCACCAGAACTGGGGTTTGAGGGAGAGAGAGAGAGAGAGAGAGAGAGAGAGCCTTGGTTTAGGAATGAATTGCAGGGTTGATAGAGTGGGGTATTCTGATAGAAACAAGGAAACCTCCTCATTCCTCCCCAGTCCTTTACTAACCACTGTGGCACACTAGGGAATTGACTTGCAAAGGGCATCTTGCTTGTCTCTTAGACCCTGTCATCACGAGGTGTGTGGGCATAGGGGAAGGCACACACTTCATCCTTCAGATTTATAGCAAGTGTTCCACTACGTGTCTGACTCCTCAGCACTTCTCTGGCAGAGCCAAGATCATGACCTTCTAATGACCAATATTTTTCAAAGGAGTGAGAAACTATAGGGACAAGAACAAAGAGCAGTTGTGACTGTATCGGTAACATTTGCCAAAATAAAAGATAAATCGGAAAGTGTGGTAGTTGTTGAATGTGATACTGAACACTTGTTATCCTAGCATTTGGGAGGCAGAGGCAGAAGGATTACAGAGTTCAGGGCCAGTCTGGGCTACAATAATAAGTTTAAGGCCAGTCAGGGCTACATAACAAGATCCTTGCATAAAAGGGGTGGGGAGCTGGGCGTGGTGGCTCACCCCTTTAATCCCAGCACTTGGGAGGCAGAGGCAGGCAGATTTTTGTGAGGTCAAGGCCAGCCTGGTCTACATAGTGAGTTCCAGGACAGCTGGGGCTACAGGGAGACCCTGTCTCAAAAAGACAAAAAAAAAAAGCGGAGGGGGAGAGGCTAGAAGATGGCTCAGCAGTTAAGAGCACTTGTTGCTCTTGCAGAACACCCCGTACCTACATCAGGTGGCTCACAACCACCTGTAACTCCATCTCCAGGGTATTTGATGCCTTCTGGCCACCATGAGCACTGCACTCGTGTGCATATTCACCTACACACATATAAAAGTAAAACTTTTAAAAAGGTGTGTTTTTTTAATAATCTGAAATCTCTCAGGTGAGAATTTAGGACAAATTCTGATCAAGAATGCTCTCTTACCAGCTTACCAAAACTACCACCAAACAACTTGATCAACCAAGCTGATTCTATTGCCGATCATGGGGAGGGAGAACTTTGATCTTGACAGTCTTTTCGTTTTTTGTCTTTTTGAGACAGGGTCTCATTGTGTAGCCCTGGTCTACCTGGAACTCACTATGTAGACTAGGCTGGCCTCAATCTGCCTGCCTCTGCCTTTCAAGTGCTGAGATTAAAAACACCACATCTGGCTGGCCTTGACAATCTTAGTAACGTAAGAAAGAAAGAAAGCTCATAAGAGGAAGTCAGTATGATTGCTAAGAAACTTGTATTTTTAGTGAGCAAAAAAATTTGTACAAAATAAGGGAGTGTTTGGTTTAAAGCAGATCCTAAAACCAATTTGACAAAAGTAATGGTTGCAATTCTTAGTCAAGGAGGTAAGGTTTTTGCCCCTGGACCTTGAGGAAGGCTGTGACAAGCTATTGAACTTGATGAGTCCCCTGAAGAGAAAGGCTTGGTGAACTCTCTCATATACATAGAGATTGAAAGATTTATGATACTTGAGCAGGCCCAGAAACACGAAGTATTCAAGAACTAATCCTAACTCGCAAAAAGCCTATTCATGTTTGGATCCTCAGGATAAAGGTTGCTGAGGACCTGGTTAAATGGAAATTTCAGAAAAGTTGAGATCACACTCCCTGCAGTGGGACCTAGGAATCTTCATAATTGTTTTTCTTTAGTTGTTTGGGAACATTTTGAATGTCTGGTTTTCTAGAATTTATCCTCTGTGGGATAAATTTTGCCTTTCGTTAGACAAACTGACAACCTGTGCATGGAATTCTTAGGCCCTCTCTGATCTAAATGAGTAACTTACACCTCTACTCCTTGTAAGACACAGAAAAGGTCATCCGCACACTGAATAAGGATAGAATCATAGGGAACTTTAAAGCCTTGCGTTCTTGGCAGGGCAGTTGGGAAAAGGGAAAGGGCACCTCAGTGGACTTCAAGGCTCAGAAGTCCAGGTATATGGCTGACTTTCCCTAGAAATAAAATTTGTTAACTGCTTTGATCTAAAGAAACATCAAGGAAAGTATACCATAGATCTATAGTCATAAAACTCTGGGACTTAGGGCTGGAGATGGCTTAATGATCAAGAGCACTGGTTGCTCTTACAGAGGACCTGGGTTCGGTTCCCAGTACCCACATGATGGATGACGGATGACAACTGTCTCTATCTCCAGTTTCAGAGGATTCTGACATCTTCTTCTGGCCTCCAGGGGCATTGCATGCATGGGTACGCTTGCATACATGCAGGCAAAACATTCATACACATAAAATAAATATTAATAAAAATAAAACTGAGACCTCAAAATAGTCGGACTATTTTAGTTGGACTGTGGGAAACGGAGAATGACTACTGGCTTTATTACTGTCTCTATATCAATCACATATTGTGATTGCAAATTGTAAGGTTATAATCTTGAGAGAAATGTTTCCTCACGGGTTTAAGCATAAACTGAGAAACTGAACACCTTCTCTTGTGACTTGTCTTTCTGAGTTCTGGGGCTTTTTCACAATATCCTGCAAGACTTTGGAGGTCTAGCTGTAGGGCTATTTCCCATTCTAGGTTCTGTTTGCATATTAAATTATTAAATCTTCTATTTATGGTTCATGGCTGTGCACACCTGTTTTGTGACCTAATAGATGCTATCTGTTGTCAACACTGTGGGCTTCACCCTTAAGTCTCTTTTCATCTTCTCTCTCTCTTTTTTTTTTTTTTTTTTTTTTGGTCTTTTTGAGACAGGGTCTTCCTGTAGCCCCAGCTGTCCTGGATTCACTATGGAGACCAGGCTGGCCTCGAACTCACAGAGATCCGCCTGCCTCTGCCTCCTGAGTGCTGGGATTAAAGGCGTGTGCCACCTCACCCGACCCATCTTCTCTCTTAAAAAGAACTGAACAGGAGTAGAATCTGAAAACTGTGGAGGAAGGCCTCCAAAAGACCTCCACCGACATCCATGGCTTTTCTAATCAACCTTTGTTTTTTAAAAATCTAAGCTTTTTTAAGTCGCTATCACAGATCTTTCTATTTTTTTTAATTGAGCTTTCTGTATGTGACATTCCTACTGACATATGAATCAGTTGATCTATATCTGGATGATATGTTCTCAAAATGATTCCAGATTCCTCTTCCATGGATGATGGTTTTCAGCTGACAATGAAACCAGAACTTTGCTCCACCATGAAGCTTTTCTTTGATTCATTTGTTTATTGTTTACTTTTCTCTTCTGAAAGAAGTTTATCATGGGGCTGGAGAGATGGCTCAGTGGTTAAGAGCACTGACTGCTCTTGCAGAGACCCAGGTTCAATTCCCAGAACCCTCATGGCGGCTACAAACTGTCCTTAACTCCAGTTCCTAGGGGAATCCGAAGCCCTCGTCTGACCTTCGAGGCACTGCATGACACAGGTGCACTCATACATGTAGGCAATACACTCATACACATAAAATAAAAATAA